AAACCCAAAGCCACTTGGTTCCTTTGAGTAAAATCAATTTCCCTCCAATTATCCTGCTTACCTGTAGACAGTTCCCAACTGGATGTAATGAAAAGCGTCGATCTTCATCAAGACAGCCTTTAAAAACACAAACGTGCATAAACGCGATGCACAACAATTTGCATGTTTAACAAGAACAATTCCAGGGATCATTATGAACCCTTATCAACATCGAGTTGCCATAATGAAGAGGCACACTGGGTGTTATGGAAAGGTCTGCTGTTCATTAAAATACTTTACAATTCATTCATAAAACAAAACTATATATATATCTATATCTCACACACAAAATGTAATATGATATATATACACTATATATGCATTATCTATACTAGATACACATATATTACATTATATATGATATATACACTATATACACATTAGATATACTAGATACACATTATATGTGTGATATATACACATTATACACACTAGATATACATATATATTACATTATATATCATATTACATTTTGTTTGTGTGTGTATATATATGTATACACACACACACACACTTGCACACACATATACAGGCTACAGTTTGCAGACACATCAAAAGTTAAAAACGTTATCCTTGAGTTCCGTTTTTCCATGACCTTTCTGAGCCGCCTCAGACGGCATCTGGCTCCACCTCAAAGCCCCAACCTGAGTGGTGGCACGAGCGGGCGCCCCCAAACACCCCGTGCACCCATGTTTCTCTGCAGGAAGACTGTCCCCAAGCTGTTGGGACCATTCAGGTCTGCAGCCCACCGAAAAGAAGGTAAAACCCACTTCCACGTCTGGCACGCATTCTCGGACACTGCTGAGCGACGGCAAGGGAACATGCGCAGCCACCACCTACCCGCTGCACGTCATAGTGAAGTCCGCGAATCGCAAAACTGGGGTCATACTCATACTTCTTGATTTCCGCGGGGTACTAAGAAAGAAGAACAGTAGGGGGTTAGTGAGCAATGCCCGAAGCTCAAAAGCGTGTGAAGAGTTGAGCCTGGAACACAGTATGGTGGGTGATGCACTTGGGCGGCGGTGACAGGTTAAAGGGAGCAGACACCCCCCCACACTTCCCTGGGCCTTCCCTTTGCCCGTCCGTCCCTGCTAGGTGAGGCCACAGGGGGGATGGCAGAGCCTCCCTCCTTTTGCCAGCCCCCCTACCACCACCAGGACCCCGCCCCCTGTTCAGGCTTGTCCACCCAAGCACAGTATCCTCGCCACCTCGACTGTCCACGCCGCCCACCTCATCCTGCTGCCCCTGGACTCCCAGGCTTCGGGAGAAGCCCCTGCAACACGTCTGCTTGCACCCCAGTGCATCTCTTCCACCTCAGATTTCCAAGCTGCGGCAAAGGAAGAGGTAGCCGTCACCCTCTGCATGACTAGAAGCGCAGCTTCCCCAAGGACCCACTCAGGTCATGTTGGCAAACCCAGGACCCCTACCAGTCTCATGAAGAGACTCGGGGCAGAGATGCTCCACAAAGGGCCCCCTTCCACGGAGCGAACGTGGTTTTCTCATCGGGACAGCGGGCTGCAGCTCACCCACAGAACGACAGTGGGAGGACACACTCAGCCCAGGGCACCTCTTCTCGGCTTGGGGTTCCCACAACCGACTCCATGGTTCTGGCTCACGGTTCAGGACTCTGGAGCGCAGCCTCCCTGGGCTTCCCCCTAGTTATTAACCAATTCCTCACCAGATGCAAAAATCAACTGGTGGGCCCCTCCCCCTCCACCCTCAGTTCTCAGAAGGAGATTGCTGGGCACCCTACAGCCTCGGCCACATGAGGGTGCAAGATGGGGAGGGAGTCAGGCCTGAGATCACGGCCCACATGCTGTCTGTCCACCAAGCACAGATCTGAGGGCAGAGTATGGGTCCCTCTGCCTGGAGGGGAGGCGCCCCGGGGGCGTCGTGGTTACTGTCTACTCCTGTAAGCAGTTCCCATCTCGGAAACCAGCAGAGGGTCACTATGAGTCAACACTGACTCAATGGCAGTGAGTTTTGGGTTTTGAGGGGGAGGGACAGCAACACTGGCTTGCTAATGCCCTTGCAGCCTCAATATGCATTGTCTAAGCGAATGCCTAGGCGACTGTCAAACCCAAGGAAATTGTTTTCCACGGCGACAAGGTGAATTCTCCACAGCCAGGCTCACATCTGTGGGAGAACATTTCCTGGTACTCCCAGGTCCAACGGCATGAGGCAGGTTTTCAGGTCAGGCTGCAGGAAGCTCGGATTCCATTGTCCTACTTGGGCTCATGTGCCTCACGCTGGCTGAGTGCCAGGAAATCACTGCCCTGACCTTCCCCCCACAGGTGTGCCCGAGAATCCGCGCCCAGGGCAGTCCTTCATCCTTCTGGACATACTTGGCAGTCTACACAGACCCACAGACAGACAGGAGGCTCTGTTCCCGAAAGGTGGCCAAGGAACTTAGCACTCTGGAAGCTTCTCTGAAACTCAACAGATATGAGCACAGAATGGAAAGGAGAGATCTATTTAAGAGCTGCCACAGGGGAAGGGGTGGGTAGGGGGGATTGTGCTTTTAAGTTCTTTTTATGCAACCCACACTCTTCCAGACTCTTCCTGCAACTTCATTTTATGTACTCCACAGGACACCCCAGCATGGGGGAAGAAGGAGTCAAGCACTGGGCTGATCACCTCAAGGTAAGCAGTTCAAATCTACCCTCTGTTCCGGGGTAGAAGGATGAGCTATCTGCTTCCATAAGGATGTGCAGTCTCGGAAGCCATAGGAACCATTCTACCCTATCCTATCGGGTTGCTGTGAGTCAGAATCCACTCTTTGACAGTGGGCTTGGGTTGGTTTGGGGGTGGTGTTTTGAATAGCCGAACATGACAACGTTGACGTTTTTCTTTGACTTGGATCCACCACCAATGTCCATAGAAGCTGCCATCAAGAAATCAAAATGGCGAAATGGAACAAATAGGCCTTTTAAAATAAGACCTTTAAGGTAGTTAACAAAAAACGACGATACCACCTTGAAGACTAAGGTGTGCCTGGCCCAAGCCATGGTGTCTACAATGGCCTCCTGTGCTTGTGAAAGCTGGAAGGGAACAAGGGAGACCAAAAAGGGAATGCCTTTGAATTACGGTGCTGGGAACACACCAGCAACAACAACAACAAAACTCACTGCCATCGAGTTGATTCCAACTCATAGGACCCCACAGAACAGGGGAGAGCTGCCCCTATGGGTTTCCAAGACTGTCACTCTTTACAGGAGTAAAAAGTAGCCTCCGAGGAATGGCTGGTAGTTTTGAACTCCTGATCCTGCGCTTAGCAACCCAATATATAACCACTACGCTACCCGGGCTGTCCGATGAAAGGACACCTCTGTACAGTCAAAATGCTCCTCAAATTAACCAGCATGGCAAGATTTTGCCTCTTGTACTTTGGACCAGTCTCTGGAGAAAGACCTCACTCTTAGTACAAAGAGGAAGACTCTCAACATAACAGGTCGACACCGTAGCTGAGACAATAGGCTCGGACAGAACAATGCTGTTGAGGATGGTGTAAGATGGGGCGGGGTTTCCATCGGCTGTACATGGAGTCATGGTGACTCAGAACCAACTACCACACACCACCTAGTCACAACCCCGACATGAAGAAGGTAAGAGTGGATTCAAACCCACTTTGCTGTTGAACAGTTTGAAGAGTCAAAGAACTTGCCCAGGATCACACAGCGCGAGACTGGCATGTATTCGAAAACAGGTGTCCCTGGCACGCCCATACTCACTAGGATGTATCTGAACACTGGCATGCCCACACTCACCCCCAACCACCAGCTAACAGACGCAAAACTAATTCTGAGGCTCTGCAGTGGGTGCCCATTACCTGCCATCTTGGAGAGCCTCAGGAACTTGCTGAAAGGATTCTGGTGAAGGGCGGCGTGCTGAGCATTTTAGCTGAGGGGATGCATGGATAAAGGAGCGGTGTGCACTCTTTGTGTGTCCTGTGGGAAAGTCTAGCAGTTCTTTCATTGAATGAGACTTGTCTGGGCTGCCCAGTAGGACACAGTGAGAGCCAGCTCCGTGTGTATACACATTCCCTCACCCCCTGCCTCCCTGTGTGTTATTCTTGGGGAGCCACACCTAAGACAAACACAGTGATTTTCAAGTGGTCCAAAGAGTATAGTCAATGACCTTGAGAATCTGGCAGAAGCCGCTGGAAAGAGCCCAAAGAGAACAACATTGTGAAGAAGAAAAGTTCAGTGGCAGGCAGACCTTAAGCACCTTAAGGCCTTAAGTCCTCTGTCTCTCTGTTCTCTTCTACAAACAAAGTAGAGAAGACTGAGCCAGGTAAGACCTGGAAGGAGTTAAACCAGTCCCTGGCACAGAGCCATAGCTCAACAAACCTGAATTGCTTCACTGGACTGTGAAGTGGCAAGCCTGGAACTTCAGACCCCCTCTTGTAGCCTCTGCTACTTTCCTGTACAATTTAATTGGAGTCGCTTGAGCTCTCGGGTCTCTTCCCTCATCTGGTCAATGAAAGGGTTGGACTAGGATGACAACTCTGTCCCTCTCTTGTCCATAAACTACAGGGTTCCCTATCACACAGCCAAGTCAAAAGCCCTCATGATGGACCCTGTTCCATAGATATTCTTGGCTTCACACACATACACACACACTCACACATACAGCATCCCTGAATTAACCATCAACAGTAGCACCCATCCCAGGAGGCCAAGAGCTGGTCCCAGCAGCCATCCGATACACGCTTCCCTGGTGGTCCAATGGCCATAGTTTCTGCACTCATTGTGGTTTAGAAGCTTTTCACCTGCCTGAGTGTAACACTGGCTGATGTGGGGCATCATGAAGATTACTGGTAGTCCTAAAAGATAAAGACTTATTGGGATTTTTATTACAGTTCTTATTTAGCTCCAGCTCAGGGGGTACAGTTGGCTACAGACTGGCCTATTAACCTCAAAGTCAGCAGGTTTGAACCTAAAAGCCGCTGCATGAGAGGAAGATGGGGTTTTCTGCTCCTGTAAAAGTTTACAGCTTTGGGAACCCACAGGGGCGGTTCTCTAAGCAGATCCGGTAGGGTGCTATGAGTTGAAATTGACCTGATGGCAGTGGGGTTATCCTGCATTAATATGGTTCGCTGGGTGTGTTAAGTACTGCAGCGACATAAAATATTAAGATTAGGGGTGCAGTGCAGTTAATTAGTTCATGTGACTCTTCTAGCGATAGTCTCTGTAATGTCCATCAAATGACCCTTGCCTGATGGGCTTGGGCAAGAGAAGGAACGGGAAGATACTGCTGGGATTCAGTTGTGCGTGACTGTTAACAAGGTTCATTGTGATTGCCCTTCTGCTGGGTACAAAATGAACCATCTCAGAAACAGGAAGAGGGACCTGACTTCCAATAAAAGGGATTAAGGAGTAGAGCATGTCCTTTGGACCCAGAGATCCCTGCACAGTGAACCACCTTGACCCAAGAGGCACGTATGGCACCAGAGGAGCAGCCGTGGAGCAGTAACAGCAGAACCAGGGGCCAGAGCATGAGACAGAGCTGTGGACTTCACAGTCCCCAGAGCAAGCAAAGCTGAGTGCACTGGGAAGGAGGCTGGCTTGTGGATTGGGGTGCCCCTTGGCACTCAATTGAGGGAGCTGGTTTGCTAGCCAAGAGAAGTGGGGCTGAGTGCCTGCAGGTTGAGGCTTATAGCAGGGTGGCATGCCCTTGAGCATTTATGCAAAAAAAAAAAAAAAAAGGCAAACTCACTTCCATTCAGCCGATGCCGACTCATACAGACCTTCCCCATAGGACAAGGTAGAACTGTCCCTGTGAGATTCCCAGACTGTAACTGTTTACAGGAGTAAAAAGCTCCATTGGGCTCTGGAGGAGCAGCTCACAGTTTCAAACTGTTGACCTTTGGGATCACAGCCCAAAGTGTAACCATCAGGCCACCAGAGCCCTTG